GCTGCTGCTGGTGTTGTTGTCGTCGTTGTTGTTGTTGTTGGTGGTGGTGGTGGTGGTACTGTTGCCGTTGAACTGTTGTTGCACCGTTGCAGTCGTTTTTGTGCTTATTGTCGTCACCGTCGTCCATTGTTGATGTTTTCCTTATCGTGTTCATCGTTGTTGCCGTCTTGTGATGCTGTTGATCTTGGTGATGAAGCAGAAGACTTGATGGTGATGTTGCTGATATACGGATGATGATGTTGATGATGACGGGCGCAGCGTTCTTCACAGGTTGCTTGACAGTCACGGCACTGGTCCCACTACTAGTACTTGCCTCGCAACGCGTCTTGCGAATGTTGCGTGCCGAAAGAACAGATGATAAGAATTTACTGACGATGATGCATGCTTGTGGTGTTCATGTCATGTTGCCGTGACCTGAGAAACCGGCGCTTCACTCTTGTCGTTGGTGTTGAGGTGGGTCTGGCTGCTTTATGCTGCTGTTGTTACGATTCTGTTATTCTGCTTGCGATTGTTGGTCTGAAGCTTAAAGTCTGAAGCTTGACTGAAGGCAGCTGCCCTCCGCGAGGAGCGTGCCGCCGCTGCACGAGCTGCCGCGGCCGTGGTTTGCGACGGTCCGAGCGGAGGTGCCCAGAGAAGAGACCATATTAGAAATATCTAGAATAGTTGGCTGGTGTATCATGTATATATATATATATATATATACACTTGTTTTTTTGACATAATGTTCACTTCATATTAAGAAAGGCCCCCCGCACCCCCCACCCCCCTTCCAGGAGCTAGAAGTGTCACAGCCCCATAAGCAAGATTCTGGTTACACTTTTTCCACTCCGGCCGCTTGGATTCTGCAAAAACAGGGGGTTTCTAATTACGTTCTGGGAATTGGATTTTGCAATATGATATCATACTCGTCATTGTTTTTGTTCAGGTCTTCCGTATAAGCAATACGCTTCTTACTGGTAGCTGGTCGCCCTGATCGCATAGTTCGGCTATGATCAAGTTTGTACTCATGTTCACTAAACGGCTTCAGGCCGAATCTGTCAAGTTCGCGTGCTGCCATTTTGTTGTTGAGTTTTGCTGTGGATCCACAGGGGCCAGTGCTACGACGGATTGGCGACACCAACGCATCTGACTTTCTAGACGGTCTTTTTGACATAGGTGCTGGGCACGATATGGCACACACGTATAGCAGAGAGAGCCGACCCAAGCTTTGCGTTTGCTGTTTGTTGTGCATCCGAAGAGTGTAGCTACCGCTTGAGAAATACATTCACAAGACCGTTTGCCGAGTCACGCCTGCACATGTTAAGTTTCACACCAAGGCTACTATGCCGACAACGCCGGCTACGGTCGTCAACGAAGCCCCGAGTCATCACTAGTTGATGGGTTCAGTCTGGAAGATGATCTGCACCGCGAAGTTATGCAACAGCCACACTGTGTCTGCTGCTACAGTGCTTATTACTACTCACACTCATCCTACTGCTGCTGCTGCGTTTGCCTCTGCCACGGCTCCTCCTCCTGACGGGGAATACTACGACGAGGACGACGACGACGACGACGACTACTACTACTACTACTGCTACCTCTGCTGCTACTTCAGTACTACTAGTGCTGCTACTACTACTACTACTACTACTACTACTACTACTACTACTACTACTACTACTACTACTACTGCTACTGCTACTACTACTTCTTCTGCTGTTACTCCTATAGTACTATCATTTCACGGTTACTATT